TTTTTTTGAGTCAGAATCTCACTCTGTCACCCAGGCTGGAATGCAGTGTCACGCTCACAGCCACCACAGCCTCAACCTGCTGGGCTCAGGCAAGCCTTCTGCTTCAGCCTTCCAAGTGGCTGAGACTACAGGCGTGTGCTACCACGTCCAGCTAATTCTTTGTTTTTAATTTCTGGTAGAGATGAGGCCTCGCCATGTTGCCCAGGCCGGTCTCAAACCAGTGAGCTCAGGCAATCTTCTCGCTTCCACCACCCAAAGTGCTGGAATGACAAGCGTGAGCCACTGCTCCCGGCTGGATCCCTCTTTCAACACCCTTATGTGTGACCCCTCCTCCAGGAAGCCTTGCTGGGAGGGAGGAGGCACCCTGCCTTTCTCATGGCCTTACTTCGGCCCCACCCCAGCTTCAAAGTGCCTGACATCATCCAACCCGAGGACTTTGGGAGCCTTCAAGGACCAGACTGGGCCCCATCACTCCTACTGCATGCACGTTGGGAGTGGCCAACGAGAAGTCTCCTCCAGCCCCACGGGACCTGGCTTGGGAGGACCAGATGCTGGAACTTGGGCCCAGAAGGGTACAGGTCAGAGCCTCCCCTTTCAGATTTAAAAAGCCACCGACACACATTAATAGGGCAGCGGCCAGAGATGGGTCAGAGGTGGCCATGTCCTCCTGACTCCTGCCTGCTCCATCTCCTTCCCATGGATGGCTCTGGTGCCCTCTCTGTCTCCCACAATGCTATATGGCTGACCCTCCACTCAAGACCCCTGCTCTCAGCCTGGCCTTGACACGGTATGTGGACCCCACAGGAGACGATGACAGACAGTTCCCTAAATGAGACCTGAACTTCACTGTTGCCATATTTTTGCTTGTGTGGGTCCCTCCACTTGGGAACAGCCCTCCCCTTCATATTTCACCTGGGAAAAACCTGGCCATCTGAGTGGATTGCCTGAGCCTGCGGGTTCGAGACCAACCCGGGTAACTTGGTGAGACCTCGTCTCTACAATAAAATAAAAAATAGCCAGGCGTGGTAGTGCACATCTGTAGTTCTAGCTACTTGGAAGGCTGAGGTGGAAGGATCGCTGGAGCCCAGAAGGTTGACACTGAGGTGGCCGTGAGCATGCCACTGCACCCCAGCCTGGGCAAAGGACTCCAACTCAAAACAAAAACAAAAACCTGGCCATCTTATCAACCTAGCTCAAATGGCAGTTTCTTCTTCCGAAAGCCTTTCTCGACACATTCTCTTCTTTCCTCAGAACCCAAGGGTCTGGCTGGACATGGTGGCTCATGCCTGTAACCCCAGCACTATGGGAGGCCAAGGTAGGGCCGAGCTCAGTGGCTCAGCCTGTAATCCCAGCACTTTGGGAGGCTGAGGCGAGTGGATTGCCTCAGCCCGCGGGTTCGATCCCAGCACTTTGGGAGGCCAAGGTGAGAGGTACCTGAGCCCAGGGGCTTGAGACCAGCCTGGACAACTTGGCCAGACCTCGTCTCTGCATAAATCAAAAAAGTTAGCTGGGCATGGTGGCACATGCCTGTAGTCCCAGCTACTTGGGAGGCTGTGGTGAAAGGACTGCCTGAGCCCGCAAGCCGAGGCTGTAGTAGCTGTGAGCATGCCACTCTACTCCAGCCTGGGCAATTAAAAAAAAAAAAAAAACTCAGGGGTCATCCCTGCATAGCTAAAGGCTTGTAGCAGCGAGCAAAGCTGCCTGTCATAGACAGGCAAGTAGGGCAGTGAGGGAGTCCGGGACATCAGCAGCTGTTGAGTCCTTGAGCAAACCCCTGCTGTTTCTGGGACTAACTCCCCATCAACCCAGTGACATGACACTCTAGGTGACTGTTCTGAAACCTGCAGAGGATGGGGGTGGGGACACAGGCTCTCAGGGTCTCCAGCCTCTAACCTCCCATTATAAGAAAAGAGGGAGCCAGGCGTGGTAGCACATGCCTGTAGTCACAGTTACTTGGAAGGCTGAGGTGGAAGGATTGCCTGAGCTCAGCAGGTCGAGGCTGTGGTGGCCATGAACGTACACTGCACTCCAGCCTGAGTGAGAGTGACTCCCACTCCAAAAAAAAAAAAAAAATGCTGGGCACAGTGGCTCATGCCTATAATCCCAGCACTTTGGGAGGCTGAGGTGAGAGGACTGCCTGAGCCCACAGGTTCAAGACCAACCTAGGCAACTTGGCAAGACCTCATCTCTACAATAAATGAAGAAATTAGCCGATGTGTGGTAGCTCATGCCTGTAATTCCAGCTACTTGGAAGGTTGAGGCATAAGGATCTCCTGAGTCCAACGGGTCAAGGCTGTGGTGGCCATGAGCGTGCCACTGCACTCCAGTCTGGGCAACAGAGTGAGACTCTGACTCAAAAAAACAAAAAAACAAAGAAAGAAAAGAGGAAACTGCTGGGAACTCCAGCATCTGGGGTTAAAGAGCCAAGTCGGAGGATCTTGGGGCTGAGAGGCCCTGGAGAGCCCCCTTGAGTATAGATACCCTGCACCCAGCTGCCAGCGCAGGCTAGCTGCTGGTTGACCCAGGGCTGCCTGCAGGAAAAGACATGCCCAAGCCCACTTCCAGTCCACCCAGTGCCGTGCCGAATGCAGGTAGAACGTCCTACCATGGCCATGATTTCCTGAACTGGGGACACTAAAAACCGCCGGCACATACCCCAAGCTGGGAGCAGAGCCCGAGACCCTCCCAGCCGCCGCTCTGGGCCTGGAGGGCCCCAGCTAGAATACGTCCCCTGACCTGGAGCTCACTACCCACCAAGATCACGTCCACAGCACCAGGGTCCCTCTGATCAGAAGGCGCCTCCCGGCACCCAGCTGACTCCCGCGGCTCTGAAGCCGCCACCTCGCGCCAGCTCCGACCTGGGGCTCAAGCCCGCCGGATCTCTGCCAGGGTCCCGGACCGCGAGGGGAGGAGGAGCCGGGACACTCACCGCGGCCGCGGCTCCCGCGTCAGGGTCGTCCACCGAGAAGGAGCTGCTGTTTCTCAGCCGCGAGCGCCTCTTCTTGAGCAGGTCGGCGTCGCGCACGTGGGAGAAGGAGCCATGCGCGC